ATGAAATGATAGCATTTTGGCAAGGTTTCGAAAACCTGTTGGCTCAGGGGGCCAGATGAGCTGCTTACCAGTTCTAGAGGACCATCTCTTCCGGCTTTATCGTCACGGAGCAGGGCCACGGAGTCTCCACTCCGTTCCATCCTCTATGGTACGTTGCCGAGAATTGCTGTGTTAGTGGATTCCTCACATGCCTGCTGCAGCTGTGTCCCATCCTCAGAGCTCCTTTTGATTTTATGCCTCTCCTCAATGGGTGAACAATGCTACGTTTTTCATATAAACTTTAATTTTCAGATGTAAAACCTTAATTTTACTAATAATTCTACAAGAGGTCCCTTCCAACCCCTACCAGTCTGTGATTCTGTGATTGCAGTTGGAAGGAGGGTGATTGATGAAAAAAACAGAAAGCAAGAAATAGGAGGGAGTGAAGAATCCTAGACTAGTTTGGGTTGGAGGGGACCTTTAAACCATCATCTAGCCTAACCCCCCTGCAATGAGCAGGGACATCTTCAACTCAGTCAGGTTGTTCAGAGCCCCATCCAGCCTGACCTTGAACACTGTCAGGGAGGGCACACCCACAGCTTCTCTGGGCAACCTGTGCGAGTGCCTCACCACCCTTGGAGTAAAGAATTTCTTCCTTATGTCCAATGTAAATCTACCCCCTTTCAGTTTAAAGTCATCACCCCTTGTCCTATCCCTACGTGCCCTTGTAAAAACTTCTTCTGCAGCTTTGTTGCAGAGCCCTTCAGTTACTGGAAGGCCTCAGTAAGGTCTCCCCGGAGCCTTTTCTTCTCCAGGCTGAACAACCCCAACTCTCTCGGCCTTTCCTCATAGGAGAGGTGCTCCAGCCCTCTGATCATTTTTGTGGCCTCCTGTGGACCTGCTCCAACAGGTCCATGTCTTTCCTAAAGAAATATTGAAAGCCTCAAGGACAGATGCCTGCAAACACCATGTTCATAAATTCTGTATTTTGTAAATGGACACCTTTGCCTGCTCTTCATCCTTCACATGTTCATGAAACATAGTCAAGGTTTGAGGTTGGTTTTATTTCTGCTAATTGCATGCTATGGAGTTGGAGACAGTCTGGCTTTCGTGACCTGTAGCAAACTGCATAGCGAGTTATTCAAATTAATATTCAGTGTGTGCTTGATAAATGAACTGAAAAAAAGAAGGCAGAGCATGAAATGCGTGGAGGCTGCTCACCGGTTTTCAGCTGACCTGTAGTTCAGGTGTTGTAGCAGTCACTGGGACAGCTGGCAAGCAGCTGCAGAGTTACCCCGTAGAAGAGAAGTATGGCACTTTCCCAGTGGGTAGTATCTGAGCGTGACCTCTGTCTTGTTTAATGTTTAATCATTATTTTCTAGTTAGTTATGATGTGTTTTCTTCTGGACAATTTTCACCTGTAAAAAATAAACATTATTTTTATCCCATTTCTTGGATTGAAAAGCTAATAAAGATGAAATTCCTTTGTTGAAGCAGACCTAAAAACTTTTTCTTGTCAGAATTTTTCTCCATTCTCATAACTTTTCCAACAGGAAATTGTGATTGGAATGGTAGTTAGGGGAAGGTATTGCCTTCCTGTTGTGGTGAAGCTCACATTATAAATGCACTGATAAGTGTGTGGAGGTTTCACTTTTGCGGTACTGCTGGGAGGGGTTTGTGAGGCTTGGCAACATGCGGAACAGGAGTTTTGTTAACCAGATGGGAGGCCGTGAACAAAATGGCATTCACTGTTATTTATACGTCAGTCCAGAATTGTTTGTCTGGAGATCTTCTACCTCAACAAGGCCAGTTTGCTTCAGGTCCTTTAATGTCTTGATCTCAAACCTGAGAATACCACAGCATTTGAGCTTTATGGTCAAAACTAAACCTGCAACCAACCATGCAGAATTATTTTCAAACTTCCTTATTGAGAAGCAACATAGAAACAGCATATATTGAATGACAGTCTACTCACCCAACACAAAAAGGTTGTTCCTCAAGCTCTGGAACAAGTAAGGTTTGGTTTCCTACTGACTGCTTTTGTTGTCTGGTGTCTTCGTGCTTTTCCAGGGTTTCTTCTCCCTCCCCCTTCCTTTTTATTCCTCCTCCAAGAACTTCCCCATCCAGCTCCCCCTTCTCTTTGGCAAGGGAAGTAGCAGGATGCAGAAGGCTTCATTGTTGTTAGGATTGGAAGAAGCTGGAGTTGCCTTTCCGTTTGTAGGGGCACTAAACTTTGTACTTACAAGACCCCTGCCCTTCTCAAAATGAGACAGAAACTGGCAGTAGCTTACTTAGGGGACTTGTTTGCAGCTCAGTCTCTAAAACATAATTTCCTTATGAAATGAGTCTTCTCTTTAGAAAAAACAACCCACCAATAATCAAGCAGTTGTAGCTATTTAACCGCAAGACCGATCATGAGATGCAGTTATATTTATATTTAGTTGAACAAGCTAAACTAAGCACAGTATCTAGACTACAGAGAAGATTCAAAGCAGGTGTCATTAATTCTTCTGAATTTTCACATCAGTTTTTAATGTTACAGCTGATTTCTGTTCCACATGTTTTATCTCAAAGATCTGCACTCACAAACGCGGGAGGTAACTTTTAGCAGAGAAACATCAGCCTGTAATATACAGAAAATAGTGAAAATTGTACAAAATGAAATGACCAGTTGCGTTGTCTCTAATTGTGTCTATTGTTCTTATTTATATGTTAGGAAAATGTAAATCAAACTAATGGTTTGCTGCCACTTTTTGCTGATTATGTGACTCATACACAGCTGTCTGTGGACGCTTGCGTTTGCCTTTGAAATGTTTCTGATATCTGATGGTGGGAATGCCCCAGTGCCCTGGACTGCTTTCAACAGCAACACCGAAAGAAATCCAATGTGTGCGTCCAGTGCCATCTTCTTGGGGCAGGCAACGTCCTCCTCCTGTCTTGTCCAGATAATGTCATCTTACAGATTACCTATGGATGCTGTGTCACACGTGCACTGCTGGCCTTCTGCCACGCAGAAGCTCCTCTGCCGTGTGCCCCTGAGCACTGGTAGTTTGCACGCCTGGCTGTAGCGTGGCAGGCAGCAGTGGTGAGCGGTAATGCCGTGGGATCAGAACTAGCTGCAAAGGGCAAGTGACGGGTTTGTTCAGCGCTAATTAGCTTCCTTTGGAAACTGCACTTGGGAAACTGGCTGCCTGGTTACCTTCCCTCTGCCCATGTTTTCATGTCTCTTCGTAGGATGGCTGCCTAGCCCTTACTGCTCCTTCAAAGGGAATACTAGGAGTAGAAGGTAGGAGAGGGATAAAAATGAGTGAAAGGGAAAGGATGCAGGCACACAGAGGAGGGAGAGCAGTGGATGACTTTGAAAGAGTGACGACAAAGACAGAATGGGGCAGAAGTAAGGTGCCTCATACTGGTATTTGTTCCACCCCAAGACAGGAAAGACTGAGCTTCGTGGAAGGGCAGACAAAACCTCTGGATTGTTACTTTAGAGAAGTCTGCGGAGGGCTCCCTTGCTTGCCCTCGCCACTTTTACAGGTGCTGCTTGAAATAGTGGTCTCCGTGTGATCCCCGCTCTCGCATTCCTGACGTTTCAAAACTTTGTAGAAGGAACAGTCAGTTCCTCTTCCAAAAGTAAATAAATAAAACCAAACCCCAACACCCATACTACACAAGAGAGCAGATCTGTGTGTGCACTATTCCAATATTGATGCTCTTGGCCACTGCTTATCTGTCTTCCAGTGTAGATCGCTACTGTGTGAACGTACCACAGGGAAGAGTTGCTTTTAAATCCTTGCACACGTAAGAGCTTTTGCATGGCAAATCCATTAATTCTGTCTTTAGTTCTGGAAGACAAAAACATACAAGTGCTGGCAAAAAAACTATTCTACTGTCTTTATTTGCTCTTACACTGAGTTTCTGTTTAAAGGTGATTTTTATTTTACAGGTATTTCGAAAAACAATTTGACCTGTCAGAACAGACGCAACTGCCCATGTTTCTCCACTGTAGAAACTCACACGCTGAATTTTTAGGTGGGTTTCGTTTGAGAATTTCAAATTCAGAGAAAATTCTGAATATGAAAAATCTGGAAACCTGAATCTTTCACCTTTGCTATAAAGCTGTCTTACGTTTTTATTCATTTCATAGACATAATGAGAAGAAACCGAGATAGATTTGTAGGAGGGGTGGTAAGTACAGACTTGAGTGTAGCATTCATTTTTACGTGCGTGCGTGTGAATATTGCTGCTTAACATGCAACTTGTTGTTTGTCATGGAATCTGGGTAGGCTTCCTGTTGCATCATTCAAGTTATTACCAATCATTAAGTGTTTTCCAATACCTTCTAGTATTTTTATTTTCATTGCTTATTCAGCAGGTTTTCTGCAAGGTAAGACGACAGGCTGAGAAAAAGCCCTGCAGCTGACAGGAGCGTTTTTTCTTGGCCCGTCAGAAGGACAGTTTAAGCACCTTATAATTGATATTGGCCTTTTCCCAGTTCTCAGTGTCTGTAACTGCGGGGCATTCAGACCACAGATAATTCAGATGCATGTTCCCAGTGGAAGCTGTAACCTCAAACATTTGCTTCTGACGTTAGACATCGTTTTCAAATTAGATGCAGCTGTAACTTTTGATTGCTTTATGTCTTTAGATATTCAGATCATGTATTTTAATTCAAAAGCACAACAAGAAGAGCTTGGGATGAAATGATTAAGACAGTCCAGCAATGCTCTTTCAGGTTTCCATTATGGCAGGGTTTTCCAAAAGCAATAAATGCTTGGATCCAGCTAACATCAGACCACGCCTCCCGCAACAGCATCTCCGTCCCCAGGTTTCCCCCTCTGCTACCACAGAAACCTGCCCCTAGTTCAGCACTTTGCATGTTGTGCTCTTACGTGAGACCATGCAGTCTCTCCTTCCTTCCTTTCCCTTCTCTGCAAACCCGGTTAGCTGGTGGAGAAAGGACGAGCCGACACCCTCTGCAGCTGACTGGCCCCTCGCAGCACGGGGAGGCAGACGGTCGCCTTCGCTCCTCCACTCGGGCTGGGAAGCTGCGGTTCCCGGATCCGTTACGCTGTTCGTGGCCTGCCACTTGCCTCTTCAGTCCCTGGGATGACCAAACAGACTGTGTCTCTCGCTCCAGCAGACTAAAATCCATGGAGAACGTAACACTGCTCTTACTGCGTCCCAGACAGTGCCCGGTAGGGAGTGCTGAGCAGAGAATGTGAAAGTGCAGCGTGTGCAGGACTGCTTCCCGTGCGTGGGCTCCCAGCTGTCCGCTACAGGAAGTTCCTGGGCCAAAAGTGGTATCACTGGATCGGCCTTTTCTATGCGTATTTATTAGTAATAAAACGGGGTCAGCATTTTTGTTGCAGTATTCAGGTGACTTCAGTCTGAACTTTGCCCAAATTCAGGATCAAGTAAGCGATGTCCCATCTTTATATTTGTGTTGATGTGTAGTGCATACGATCAGAGGTATTTATGACACAAATGAACACTAATATGTACTTTTAATCATTGGAGTTTTAAATGAAGTATGTATATTTGTATATATGTGTGCATCTATATTTATATATGTTCTAGGTACATTCTTTTGACGGCACAAAGGAAGAAGCAGCAGCTATATTAGATTTGGATCTCTATATTGGAATAAACGGCTGGTAAGTTCTTTATAAGAAATAAAACTGTTTTGAAATGTCAGCTGTAGTGAACTCATCGCTTTCTTTTAAACAATGAGGTCAGGTTTTCGAAGCTTACTAGACTCTCAATCATCTGACAGATTTAGAATTGCACTCAGTCTGTTAGCCATAAAAAGGTCTTAACTCACAGCTCAGCGAGTTAATCTGCTCTTAGGTCCATTCTGCTACCCTCAGGTCAATCCTTGTTGGTAAATAAATGAGGTTGTTGGACATGGAAGCAGCCCTTCTGAGAAGCGTTTGAAGTACAGCCTAATTTTAAGCAGCCGTGTCAAATGCCAGGCTGATGCAAGCGTAACCTGAGCAGCTTTACCTGCTGGGTCCGCGGCCTGAACTCTCCGCAGTCGTGTGGCCAGCAGGCAGCCAGCACCACTCCGCAGGGGGCGTGGGCTGCCAGGCCAGCGAGCGTGGGCAGCGCAGGCAGGGGTTCTGCGTGCTCGCTCGCGTGAGACGGCTCCACTGAGTAACTCTCCAAATGTGCTGTTTTCTGCAAAGTTTGAATTTACAGGCAGCACTTCTAAAAATTAAGCTGATTTTATTCACTAACAAAATTATTTAGGAAGCTGCCTTCGCTGCAAAACATTTCAACAGGCAAAGTAATTACTTTTACACGCTTTTTAATTTTTTTTATCCAAACTCTGATTTTCTAGTTCATTGAAAACAGAAGCCAACTTGGAAACACTGAAATCGATTCCTAGTGAACGATTAATGATAGAGACTGGTAAGATCCTGTATCTGGTCAGTTTGTGACTTCAACACTGTGAGGCAGCGAGATGTGCGTGTATAGCGGTGATAAGGCAGAATCAAGACCTAATGAGTTCAGAGTAGAAAAAGGACGGGATGTTTCTCCACTTTGGAAACTACAGACTGCCTAAATCCTTCCATTTACTTGCACGTGAAAGTACAGACCTTTCAAAGGACACAGGAGGTTTCTGTGGAATACACGCAGCGGATCTAGCTGTCTTTATCAGTTTGAAGGAAATAACTGTTACGTGCTATTATTGCTAATTTTTTAAAATGTGACATCTTTAAGGTAACAGTATAAAAATCCAAAGATTGTGAAGATGTTAAATTGCCCAAATCGCTAAAATTCCATTTTGAATTGGAAGTTACTGCTAGAAAGAGATTGCAAGAACTCTTGTCTGTGGAAGTAGTTGATTGAACTATCTCATGCTGTTCTCCAATGATTGCATACTTTTAATGCTTTTTTTTTTCAAATGAAACTAGATGCGCCTTGGTGTGGAGTGAAAAATACTCATGCTGGATCAAAATACATTAAAACTACGTTTCCTACAAAAAAGAAATGGGAAATAGGGCACTGCTTGAAGGACAGAAATGAACCCTGCCATATAATGTAAGTGTACTACTGTAGTAGTAGTTTAAATCTTTCAGATCTCACAGGGAAAGAAAAAGAAAACAATCAGTTCACTGGAAATGTAGCATATAGAAATTGATTCCAGTTTCACTGAAACTTGTGCAAGGTATTGCTTTATAGGCTGTGGGAAAATTTAAAGTGTCTTAATTTTCCCATTTCCCATCCAACCGTGGATGTAAAAAGCTCCCTGAAAGTGAAACCAGTACCGTTTCTCTTTTCACTTGACACACTGGAGAAGGGGTTAAACCCTGTAAAGTAACCTGACTTATGAATAAGTTTCACTCAGTCGTTGTTCCAGTTACTTCTGCAGCTGATGCAGCAGTGGAGCTGTGCAGTGCTGGGGAGGGGACGGTACTGGGGCACGGAGCCGGGCCTGCGCCCCTGCTCGTGTCACAGCGCCTGCGAGATGGACTGCCGCAGCGTGAATTTGGTTAGGGTCACTTCTCTGTTCTGCTGCTGTGCCTGACGAAAAATAATTTTGCAGAACGCTGATCCAATGACATTCTGATATGCAGAACAGCAGTCAGCGTAGAGAATAGCGAAAGAAAACTCCAGGGCCTTATGGACAGAGTTGGAAAGTACAGAAACGGTTTCCTGCCACCTTCTCACGTGCTTCCTGGCAGAGGCGTGAAAAGCAGGGAAATGTATAGTTTTAGTGAAAACCTTTAGTTATCTCCATTAAATAGCACTGATAGGTGAAACGCCTTCATTTTCACAACTGTTACTGAAGTCGGGTTGGTGAGTTACGCTCATCTTCCCAGTCATAGTCTCCTCGTCAGCTCCCTGAAAAGAACAAGGAATTCAGGAAGGTTTCATCTCGCGCTGTAGTATGTGCATGAATTTTCAGCAAATAAAGCTCTCAGCTGCACCTGCTGAGGTGCAGAGCCCATTTACTCGATCAGAAGCAGGATTTGTTTTGCTGTGCAGACTGTATGTATTTCTGTGAAAAGCTGTGTAAATGGCCTGTTGGGAGTGAGCTTTGGAAACACTGCTCAAGATAGTGCTAAAGAATCCAGGTATTCAGCAGGGTGTCATTAAACAGGAGTTTATTTGCGAACTGAAAGGAATTCTGCTGCTTTTTTGGGAGACATCTGAGACAGGCAGACCACCGATCATGCTAAGAGCACAGTTTGGGCTTACATGGTGGCATCTCCTCGTGGTCAGATGTGTTTTACGCAGTTGCATCGATTTGGAATACTCTTTGAAATTGATTTGTGTTTTAAAGACAAAGCGTACACGTTAGCACGGAAGGGCTTTTTCAGTATTTTAAGACTTTCTAGGGTTAGTCTATGATTTTGGAGTAGGGGAAGAGATCAAGTGAGAACAGTTCCCTGTCACAAGTGGCGGAGCTCTGCTGTCGCCGAGTCGGGCTGTTTCAGCAAGCCGGTACGCGTCAGCAGCTGCCCTAGTGCCAGCTGACAGCAGAAGTGTTTCAGAAACCCCTGAACTGGAAATGCAGGGACTCTGCCCCAGAGCGGCACACAAATGCAATACTTTGGCTTTTGCTTTCTTTTATAAAACAAAATCATATTTAGTTCAACCTTATTTCAAAATTACTGTCCCCTTAATTATAACCCATGCTAGTTGTAGATTAGTAACCTGAGAACCTCTTAAACCTTAGGAAAAATGAAGTATGGTAGCTGAGAATTGCAATTTTGTGACTTCTTAAGTAGCAAGATCTGGTGTGAGGGGAAAGTTAGCCTCAGGCCACAAAGCATACTTAATGTTTAGGGTATATATACTGTTTAATATAGCTCAGTTGGTGGCAGGAATTTTCCACTTGTCTTTTTTTGGTGGTGCTGGACACCTTTCAATTTTGATGGTGATGTTTCTGCTTTACGGGTATTTTTAGGACTGCACTACTCCCCTTGGAAGGTATTTTTTTATTTTAGCCACAGGAGACTTCCCCCCTCTCCCCCAGCAATGTCTCATACAGTGTTACAGTAATATGTGGCATCCTGCTGCATCCATGTGGGGACAGACACGTAACCCCTACCAAGGCTCTTCACGAGTGAAATTCTTTAGTATTTGTTACTTACTTCTGTGTAGGCCTGATCTCACCCCAGCTCATCTTGAACATCCCCTTAAATCAAGAAGCCGTTTGGCTGCAAAGCAGAGCAGTGGTCACGAAATGCACTAATTCTGCATCTGGGAAAACATTTGCATTCCAGTAACTGTCAGGAGCGCCTTTTTCTTACTCTGTCTTCCTCACAAAAGAAGTTAAGTTGTGGCCTAAGTTAAGAGGCAAGATCCAAAAACCAAAACCACCAAACCCTAGTACCAAGCTTCAGGTTCTTACTCTTCACTGTGAAGTGTTTTTTCTACTACTAGAATAAATGAAAGTGTGATGTGCTTAGGAACTGCACAGAGTACTTTTTTTTTCCTCAGAATGACTGATGCAAAATCAAGAAAGTCAAGTACAGACAGAAGATTGTGGCTTGGTTTTCTGTTACTTAAGTGTTAGTATTAGTCATCCCATTTCTTTTGCCTCCTTTTCCTGGCTTGTATCAAGGCTGCGGGCCTTTTAAAATCACTCATTTAATGTTTACTGCAGATATCCGAATGCATTAATCACAATTAATCTAGAGAATGGGGCAGTAGGAATAAGTTACTTGGCAGCTATGCTCTCAGATAGGCTGCGGCTGGCATTTAAGCTTTGCCTTACACTCATTTATTCGTAGTGCAGCTTTGGCCTCAAAGGCTAACGAATTTCAGTCTGAAAAATGGAGACCACTGATAAAGACACCCACAAAATGACACTTTCTTTGAGACAGAAAGCTGTTTAATTACCTCCGAACAAGAGTCAACAGACCAACGATGAAGCTGTACCCGTGAGCGACCAGCGTTCAGTGTGAAGGGAATGGCAGTTAGTGACTTAAAAGTGAAGCTATTTGCATATCTCAGCACCCTGCCCTGCTGCTCTCAGCATAGGTTTTTATCCCAGGTTATGCTCAGTGCGTTGTCCATACACATGCAGCAGTCTGAAATGTATTCAATGCCGAGTTTCAGAGTCTTCTAATACCAATCTTTCTCTTTTAGTCAAATACTGGAAATAATGGCAGCAGTAAGAGAAGATGACCCGCTTGAGTTGGCCAATACTCTATATAACAACACTATTAAAGTCTTCTTTCCAAACGTATAAAGTTGTTTTTCTTACATTTATTCAACATAACTTCAGTAAACATTGCAAAAACTTAAAAAATATCTTATCTGCAAATTCCTGTCAATGGAAGCCGATATGTAGTGCTTTTTTTTTTTTTCTTATGGTACAAGATTAAAGCTGCTTTTGAAAAGGTGGTCTGCATTTGTGCAGTTTCTTAGCCCTGTTCCCCTTTCATCAAGATTCAGGATCAATTTCACGGTCAGCCTAAGCTGGCAGCTCCTGTTACTCCTTGCACGCGTGACAAGGCGAATACCCGGCTGCTGCGTTCACAGGCAGGGGGGGTCAGGCTGCTGCTGGTAACTCGGAAGCGCTGAACCTCAGTGGCGTGCTTTGCTGCTTCAGCAGAACGCTCAGCCATTTTGGCTGCTGTTCCACACAGGCAAATGCTGTAACATAAAGTCTACCAACCTAAATTTTTTTTTTTTTTTTTCAAACGCAACTCGCTAGTTTTCAGCAATAAAGCTCTGCTAATGCTGAACTTGTAAGTAAAGCTGCTTTGGTTCAGGCTTTTCATTTCTAACTTGACCCGCTGAACAGTCTGTTTTCACCAGTATTTTTCATTTGCGTCCAGACCTCATTGATCGGGGCTTACTGGTATACAGTCTTTGGCACAGCGTTATCACTACATCAATTAAAGAGTGTTTTTCCAACTGTCTTAAAAACATGTGAAAACATTTTATTCCATGTACAATAATGTACATAATTTTAAGGTGGTCATGAAAGAGACCAGCAAAAATTAGAGGTATATTTACAGTAGCACACACCACAGTAAACAACCACCATTCACAGACTCAACATTGAAATACTGCTGTTGTGCTTCAGTACAATAACTTTTATTCTGTTGAAGTCAATCTTAAACAAATACCTCGCGGCTTAGTAAAGGGCATCTTAATCACCAAGAGAGTTAGAGTCAACATTGAGAGTCTCATTCAAGTGCTGTGCCACAAAGTCATCGTCTTCCTCATCGCTGTCGGAACTGTCGTTATCTTCATTTAATTCATTTTCGGCATCAGCGGCTTCTTCTGCACCTTGTACAGGATTTTCATCTGGTGCCACAAACCCGTTGTTGTTAGAGATATTGGCATTGTCCTTGTCCTCAATATACACCTTCTGATGGCACATCGGGCAAGTGTCCTGAATGTACAGCCACTTCCGAAGACAAAGTGCATGAAAGTAATGGTTGCACGGAGTAATGCGAGCAGAGGTGGTGAACTCGTGGTAGCAGATTGCACAGACATCATCGATTTCACGTAACCGACTTCCTTTGACCTCTGGAAGCGAGTTTATTTTCTTAACAGCAGTCCGGCGATTTATAAAAGTCTTCCAGCCGTTCTTGGCTTGCAGGTAGATGTTGAAGTACGCGTGTAGACACATCATGCAAGCGCGAATCTTGCTCCCCGATTCGAAAACCATTGTGTAAGCTCCATTCCCAAACATGATGACTCCAAATATAAACTCAATAATATTGCCAGTTGAACGAACATAATAGACATAATCATCAAGTTTTTCCCATAGCACATTATAGTAGCCATCGATCATAAACAATATATAAACGGTGATAGAAACTATTACTTTTAGGCACAGCTCTACACAAAACGCCGTAACTGCGAAGAGCCACGTATTTAGTGCATAGTGGTGCCAGAGGATGTAGCTGAGCAGAACCGGGAGGATGAAAAGGCAAGCAGAAACAAAGAGTACAGGGAAGTGTCGGCGAAACGATGACACGTGGGAGGCACTGAGAGACATCAGCACAGGGTCTGTCATGCCATGGATGAAATGCAGGACTGCGGTCAACAAAAGGCACATGTTTCGACTCAGGCGAACTAATCGTTCTTCTGGTTTCAGTCCACTTAAACCAGTCTGCAGAGCCAAAATGAAAAACAAGACAGGCGCCACAAACCCCAGCCTTTTGTCATCCTCATCGGTTGACCCGATGAAGGCCAAGATGCCGAGTCCCAAATAATGCGCTACTGAGGAAATGACGGCACTCATGCCCAACACTGTTAGAGTCGAGTCGCACCCGCTGATGATCAGACTGCAAATCAGTTCCCAGCAGCTGTCCCATGGTATCAAGAAGAATTTTTCTTCTGCGTTAGTTTCAGCCATCTTTACAACGTATGTTAATACCACAGCTTGTGCTGTAAGTCTCGTTAGCCAGAAGACACGCAGTACCGCTGGAAACCGAATCCTCTTCCACGTATCTTCCATCAACAGCTGCAACCCATAGATGCGATACATGTGCCTCACCAGCAGATAAACGTATCGCACCGAATAATAGAACCATTTAATTTTCATAACTAAAATGGCTGCGGTATTTAGTGTCAGAACTAGGCCCGAAATAAGAACGAGTATCTGCCGAACATTTAAAGGTAATTCAACAACCAAGCCAATGACAGGAATCAGTATATCCAGGATGATGAGTTGAGAGTATACGGACTGCATGTTGAGCAGCGTAACGTATCCGATTCCAAAGGTGAGCTGCAGGATGGACAGGGCCATCCAGAGCGAAGGTCCTTTATGAGGGAAGATCTGAATTCCAAACGCAGCTGTGTAGTAGGCACTGTAGAAGTTTATGTGCAAAGAGGCATAGTAATTCACCAACACTGAAGTCGCAGCCAGCAGAAATGCTGAGGCAATCATATAAAACTTGAAAAGTGCTCGCTGTTGTAGGACCAGAACAACACTGGATACAAAGACACCTGAAAACAGATTGATATCATTTAGTTCTCAGCAGAAATTCAACAACAGACTTTAACCTATTAGCTTTGGAGCAACATTTATTTCATGTCTCACTTCCCAGTTAGTCACTCATAACTTCCCATTACCAGCGGTGCCCTTCTCGGAGAACAGAGGAGAGGACGACTTGATCTCCGCATTTAACACCTCTGTGCACTGCAGCTGCGATGCAGAGCCAGCGCAAGCATTACGTCACAGTTACTGTTACGTTCAGCTGTGGTTTCAGACTGGAGCAGTGGCAACTCCGCTCAGTCTTTCAGCCTCACCCTTGAAATCTAAGGGTAGACAAGTTCTAAAAGCAGAAAAGAATTACCAGATGTAGCATCACCCCAACAGGCAAAGTTAATAAGGAATAAATGAGTAAAATTTACTAAGTCCCTTAATTCACTTGAGCCCTCAACTCCAGATGTCCAAGCTGGAGTACTAAAGATAACAGTTGCCAAAACAGTTTAGCTAAACCCTTTAATGGGAAAATAGTGAAAATTTGCTGTAGTTTACTGGGGAGAGGGCACTCTCCTTCCAGTTCCCTTCAGTTTGGTTTCATTTGTGATAGTCTCCTGGAGAAGACCTTCCATAGTACACAGAACCCAAAACTGCACCAGTCACCTCTGTGCCAATGCCAGTGCGAACCCGCGTCTTACTTGTCAGAAGTCTGATTTCGATCTTGTAATTCCTGTTTGCTAACCCTTCCCTCCCCTGACCATGAACACATCTTGACCACGGCTGGAAAGTCTGCACCTTCCTATGATAAATCCTGTCACAGCATCTGTAGGACCTTGGGACTACATTCATGTCCTTGCAGTAACCTCCTCCTGTAGTGCAGATTATGAATTTCATCACTCTGTACTCAATAGGTAAGGGCACTGCCCTAACAAATATTAAATTAAATGGCACTTATCACTAGATTCACTTCCTTAAACATTTTTTTGTTCAGGAAACACAGTGCCTTTGTTTTGGGCTTCTCAACCAGCTTCCAGTCTATGTAATGGCTTTCTCAGATGAGGAGCTACTGGAGAGAGTCCAGCGGAGGGCTACGAGGATGATGAGGGGACTGGAGCATCTCTCCTACGAGGAAAAGCTGAGGGAGCTGGGCTTGTTCAGCCTGAAGAAGAGAAGGCTGCAAGGGGACCTAATATATGCCCATAAATATCTTAAGGGTGGGTATCAGGAGGATGAGGCCAGACTCTTTTCAGTGGTGCCCAGTGACAGGACAAGGGGCAATGGGCACAAACTGAAGCACAGGAAGTTCTGAATGTGAACATGAGGAAGAACTTCTTCCCTCTGAGGGTGACAGAGCACTGGAACAGGCTGCCCAGGGAGGCTGTGGATTCTCCTTCTCTGGAGATATTCAAGGCCCACCTGGACAAGGTCCTGTGCAGTCTGCTGTAGGTGACCCTGCTTCGGCAGGAGGGTTGGACTAGATGACCCACAGAGGTCCCTTCCAACCCCGAACATTCTGTGATTCTGTGATTCAGCCAAACCACTTTGGAGAGATTTTGATCTCTACAACTTAATATTTGATTGTAAATTGTTTTCAATCTCTGGACTAAAACTAATGAAATCACAAGTAATCCTCTTTGAGCTGGAGGACAACATCAGTCTCTTCTGACGACTGGATTTTAGATTGTTCCAAATCCTCCATAATGAAGCGTTTAACAAAAATGTATTTTAAGCCATGGTATCTTGCTGATAGGAATACAAAATTTTGCTAGGAACCAGCATTTGATTCCACCAGTAGCGTGGCCAGCTGCTTGTATCAAAAAAACCACAGCCAAACAAAAAACCCCAGGCTGGAGGACTGAATAAGAAGGGAGAGGGTCAACATGAATCAGCAGCACAAGGCAGACTGCATTGGCTGGCATAAAAACATTCTCCTTAACTAATCATTAACCTAGTAACCTTGTGAAGAGGACTGGGGAAAAGCCTCAGCCAGTTTTCAGAAAGCGCCTTGTACCGTAGCTCAGTTCCTCCATGACACGCTGAATATATCTCACAGACAGCACTTGTTTGAAACCCAGCTCGACTGAGTGACTTGCCAAGGCGCGCTGCCTTTTCATGCGTACCACTGTAACCACCCAGGGGAAAGCCATCGCTGCTGACGAGTTTGTGCCCTTTGTCTTTTCTCAAAAATCACAGCAAAGGCTCCACATGCCTGTAACACACTCAATAATTCTGATCATTTGAGCCAAACGAGGTGCATTTTGCCCTGACAGCACTAAGCTGGCAGCTCTGAAGCATGCCTGCCCACGAAAGCTATTCCTCTCCCTGGCAGCTGCAGCAGCAGGCCTGTGCTACACCGACGTCTCGCCCACGGGACACAGCCCGGAGAACAGCACCGCAACGGCTCGGTAGACCAGCTGCACCTCCTGCTTCCTCGAGAGGGCCACTAGTGAAAGGG